GCCCCCATGGTGATACCGGTATTACCGGTGTTGTCACACGTCGATTAACCGGTGGGAAAATTTCCTCACCGTCACAATCCTAGCGTGATGCTTACTTTGTCTGAAGTCTGGACGTTTGCGCATGAAGCGTTGGTATCGATCCCTCTTTCAGAAGCAATCTTTGCTCAACTCCAGCGCTGAACTGACCCTCGTTTGTGAGGCAGTCCGGCGTAAAGTGTTAGCACAAACGTATAGGACTTTTCCGGGACATTTCCTTCGAAAATGAAATTTAACCACCGTGTCCTCAGCGGTCTATGGAGACTCCTATGTTCGTTGGTGCATCCCAACACACGACACTTGTAATGGCTCTTTGGCGCTGACATTGTATCTTCAGCAGCTACAGCAAGAAAACAGTAATGCGGCTGTGTCCTCAGCGGTCTATGGAGCCTCCTATGTTCGTTGGTGCATCCCAACACACTACACTTTTAATGGCTCTTTGGCGCTGACATTGTACCTCCAGCAGCTACAGAAAGAAAACAGTAATGGCAGACCGCTGCTTCTCACTCAGGGCTGTGTATATGCTAATAGGGCAGAGAGTGTCACAAATGGGCGGGACTTTCCCAGACTATGACGTCATAGTAGTGAGAAATCTGGAACTGCTAGTGCGGAGAGACTATTTATGATTTATTGGGATTATAAAACAATGAGTGGGTGGATTTTTACCATAGGCTGGTTGTTTTCACACACTGCGGCCACACAACTGTGTTCAACCACCTTATAAAAGTGATTTTTGCATTCTGTGGCACCTTTAAAAAACCATGGTAAACAGCAAACATATTTGTGCTGTTTAATGCATTTAAGACATTGTGTTTTCCTCAGAGCATAACTGACATGTCACAGGTATATTTTTCATCTGTAAATGTTAGAAAGTCATGCTTAAACCGCATAAACACATTTCATTACACAAAATAATGTTCTATTTAGCAACATCATATGAGCCCTTTAACAGCACACACTTTGCGATATCATTAATTTTGTAAGCATTTCATCTCTTTCCCCATTTACAATGCAAACCATAAACTGCACATGAAGTGTGTGTTGCAGAAGTATTGACAGACTTGAAAGTCTTCTTTTTTTTTTCTTAAAGTAACCACTGTTTAATAAAAAAGAAAAAAAGCTATTTTATGTTGTTTTTCTCCCTGATGTACCGAAAACATACCAAACTGTAACTTCAAAATCGAGGTGTGTACCAAACCATAATTTTTGCGTACTGTTACACACCTAAGGGTTAGTTCAAATCCCTTACTGTAATTAACTGTAGCTAATTAGAGAAGCGAGAGAAGGATTGCTCAGTCAGTTCAGGGAAGTGTGAAGCATAGACATCATTCGTTTGTGGTTTTTGTGTTTGTTTAAATGCATTAAGAATGGCTTGTCAGTGGACCATGGCTTTTATCTTTGTGCTCGATCACTGGCTTGACTCTCTAATGGAATCCTATAGGTATCCTGTGTCATTCAGTATGGCTATGCATTACATCTGATTCTCCTTGGATGAGTCATCGGCAATGTCATGCCCCACACACGGGGGACACGGGGGAGTGAGCTCAGTGTGCAATCATCACTGCTACATCTCACATCATCTCTTCATCACTCTCATGTACTGTGCTCTTTCTCTCTCAGGTTTGATTCATCTAGAGGCACTCAGTGGGAGGAGCCATGACCGAGGGGGAGGGGCAGTTCTACAGCGTGCAGGTGGGTGATTCCACCTTTACGGTGCTCAGAAGGTACCAGCAGCTCTGCGCCATCGGATACGGTGCCCAGGGTATCGTCTGGTGAGTGCGCGGCTGGAATTAACAGTTTTATCTGCCTCCATACTAATGATGTCATCATCCCATTAGGCATTGCCTGTCTCCATGTGTCATGAGCGCAGCAGATGTGTTTTTGTAATTGACCTGAATGTCTCATTAGAGATTTGGATCCCTGATTTACAGCTGCTGTAATGAGAGGGATTTTACAGCTAGCTGCATGTCTATATTGTTTACTGCAGGAGATGGACACCAAATGTCTGATACCATAATGACATACAAAGGGCATTTAAAAGTGAATTGAGGTATAATAGGACATCATAAATGCATAAATATGGACGTGAATCATACTTGAACAAATGATGGTAACTACAATGATGATTGTGATCATGTCAGTGTGCCCATTTTTCTGCCCCATAAAGCTCCGCTCTGGACACTGTACTTGGCATCCCAGTCGCTGTGAAGAAACTGAGCCGGCCCTTTCAGAACCAGACCCATGCGAAGAGGGCTTACAGAGAGCTGGTTCTGCTCAAGTGTGTTAATCACAAGAATGTACGTCCCCTTAACAGTGCACTCTTCCATTCAGAAGTATGCTTTGAGGCTGCGGCAAACTAACTGACTCAACTGATTTGGTCAGGGCTATCACACCTACAGGCTGTTTTTGCTGGGATGTCAGAGCTCTATCACACTCACCGGTTAAGAATGTCAGAGAGGTGACAGACTGAGCAACTACCTCTGACATTTCTCTCCAATTTCCTGTCACTGAACGGCCTACTTTGGCTGAGAAAACAATATGCAGTTAAAAATAAGAACAGAAGTCCTACATGAACATATGAGCTAAATTCAGATGTAATTCTTGGAAATAACATTACCCGTAACTTTACAAAATTAAAAATTATGTTTTGAATCCAAAATAGGTTGTTATATGATTCAAGAAATTTGTGAAATTAAGACAGCCATGAATGTTAGCATTGTAATTTTACTATTGTATTGTAAAATTTGTGTTATTATTATTATTATAATTTAATATTAAATACTTCAATAAATATTCAGCCCACTGTATTTACATTTAATATACTGGTAATTACTGTTAATAATAGCTTGTATAGAAAATACATAGAATAATTCAAAACTTTATAACGACTCTGAATTGAAAAGCAGTATAAATGTTGTACATGACCTTTTACCATTAGCTCTTTTTGATTAATCAGCAACCAGTAAGCTTATTTTGGTTAAATTATTTATTTGATAGCTGCTAATTGGCCAGTGACTGTTGCTTATGACTTAAAAACAGGTAATGAGACGTTGGCCTTTGTTGTCAAGCTGATTGTTATGTGTAGATTAGTCCAGATTTATTTTCTCATTCTTTCCCTTCCAGATCATCCGTTTGCTTAATGTCTTCACACCCCAGAAGTCATTGGAAGAGTTTCAGGATTTGTAAGTTTTGAGTTTATAAATTCATGTGTTTATGCTGACCTTGTCATTTAGTGTAAGCTGAGTTTGTATGGCCGTAGGGTGTATTGGTCCTTTGGCGTTGTTATTAACATTCATAGTTTTGCTGAGACCACAATGCACTCTCAAGAGGAACTGATGAATTACGCTGTCCTACTGCTGCGTGATAATTATAGCTTTAGAATAGAAAATTATATGTTATTAAATCAAGATTAATTATAAATCCTGACCACAGCACTTCTGTTGCTGTGTTTTATAGAAGTGTTGCTGACACTATTAAGCATTAAGCTTGGGGTCTGGGGTTTTTATATGCTAGTCAGTACTATGCATGTAAGGATTTGTAAGAGATCATTTGAGTTATACGTGAGCACAGGAGACTGTGAAGAATCTGGTTTCTCTCAGGTACTTGGTAATGGAACTGATGGACGCTAGCCTTTGTCAGGTGATCCACATGGACCTGGACCATGAGAGGATGTCTTACCTGCTCTACCAGATCCTGTGTGGCATCAGACATCTACACTCAGCTGGCATCATTCACAGGGTGAGATGTTCTCTGTGGAAAGTTTATTATCGGTAACTACAACTCATATGACAATTAAGTAAAAACAAGGCTAAAATAATTAGAATAAATAACAGAAAATAAAAAGAAATGTTAACTAACCTTAATTTTTTTGTTTTAGTTTTTGGTGCTCTGTAAATTATCAAATTTAGCAATAAAATAAAATAAAAAATTAAATTATCCCACTTATTAGCGTGGCTACTTAAATGTAGTTGAAATATCGATTTGAGTGAAATTATTTCATTTTGTGAGAAGTTAGCGAAACTATGTAAAAAAAAAAAGTTTGATTATACAGTTCATTGGTCATTATGCTAAAATATGTAACTTCATGTCATAATGCTGCCATTGCCATTGATCAGATTCAAACCTTCCAGAGAGCCATGTCACAATTGTACAGTGATTAATGTGTTAACTTTCACTCTACTCTACTTTTACTAAAACTACACCTAAGAAAAAACAATTGAGAAACTAATGTGAAAACTAATGAATGATAAATTTAACTGAACATAAAATTTCACTAAATTAAAATTTCTAAACTATTTATTTATTTAGTCATTTAGCAGACGCTTTTATCCAAAGCGACTTACAAATGAGGACAACAGAAGAAATCAATTGTAGTATTAAAACAACTAAAAACAGATCCAAAACTAAAAGCTAAAACTTTATAAATACTACCTATACACATTTTAAAACTAAAGAAATTAAATAAAAATGACAAATACATACAACAAAATTTCAAAACTTAACATTTAAATGAAAAACAAAAAA